TCAGGCAACTCTCTTGATTGCTGCCATGCCAAGGCAGAGGAGGAGAGGACCCATGGCTGGATATGGCCTAGGCAGTGGCGTTCCCCTACCAGGTGACACCCAGTGCAGTGGACGGGACTTCTGGCACCACACAGGAGTGCACACATGTGTGCCAGAGAGACACCCATGTGGCCCCAGGAAGCAGGCTCGGGGAGCAGGCCCACTGCCCCAGGAGGCCTGGGAAGCAGGCCCACAACCCCTGAAAGGCCTGGGAAGTAGGCCCATGGCCCCAGGAAGGCATGGGGAGAAGGTCCATGGCCCTGGAAAGGCCCAGAGAGGAAGCCTGTAGCCCCAGAAAGACCCTGTGGGGGGCAGGGGACTGACTGGGTGTCAACCCCTCTTCTGGGGTGTTAGCCGGTGCAGCCCACTCACCCTCAATGATGCTACTGGGCCTAGGCATCCATTGTATCCCTTCCCTTATCTAGCATTTTTAAAGGTTCAGAGTGTTGCTCTGTGTAGGCTCAGAAACCACATGTGGGACTGAACAGAGACCAAAGAAAACAAAGCCTTGCTCTTAAAATCCACAAAATTTACTATACGTGCTCCATTTTAAAAGTTTTAAAATTTGCTACAATGTCTTTGCTTTTATGACAAATAATGTTATTGTTAACAGCAACATTTATAAACCACTTATCCAAAGCAAATTATACAGCATTCAGATAATCTTTAATTTCAAGATAAACTCTCTAATTAATCTATTTTTGTGACTGTTTGCATAAAAGAACACAGTGAGAAGACATGCATTCAAAGAGCAATGTCTTTCAAGAAAGAATGAGAGTAACTTTGAATTTTCAATTGGATTCATATTCTAATAAAACCACTATGAAGCAAACAAATCTTTTGTCTCATCATGCCTGAGACAGACAATTCTTATTCCAGAGTCTCCATTCTTATTGTTGATGGAGAAAATTTGTTTTTTCAGCTGCTTCAAGAAAACAGGAAAAGGGCCAATGGGGAAAACAAATCAGCTGATTTTTACATTAGTTCAGCCAACTTAATTTCTCCCTGTTTGTTCACATATTCTTTACCATTTGGTTTAATCTGGTGTTCTGGCATAAATGCTTAGAGGCAAATATTCCCCCACCCCAAAGTGAAAATAAAGGAGCTATGATCCAATCTTTCAAGTGCTAGCTATCATTAGGAATACAAGGAAGAGCATAGGAAGCTACCTATATGTGTTTGTCTATCTAGCTCAGTGTTATCAATAATGGCTCTTCAAGGTTTCAAACAGGGGTCATTCCCAGTCCTAGTTGAAGATTTCAGTAAGTCAGCCTAGGAGTCTTTGCAGGACAAAGTCTATATTCTGTCACTGTGATGCATCTCTTTCCTCAAATCCCCCAAGCCTCTGGAAGTTTGCTTAATTGAATCTATGCAAGACGATTGTAAAATAGGTTAGTAAGCGCAGTGACCTGAAGGAAGTATGAGCACCTGTCAATTATAAGGCTTCGTTTCCCCTATTCACCAAAATACATATAGCCTTAAGTGTATTCTTGGATCCAGCAATGCACCTGGATTGTCAGATTGTTTTGAATATAACAACTCTCATTCATTTCTACTGCCTTAATAACCTTGACATTTATAATAAGCTATATGTAGCACCTACCCTTAAGGACAATTTGGAAGCTGCAGCTGGATAAGAAAATATTACATCATCAGGAGCATATGACATCAGTTCTCCAGAATTTGTATTGACTTCTTAAGAGATTTCTTAGTCCTATGTTGGTTTTGAACATTTAGCTCTTGTACAACCTGCCATCTCTTTCCCTCTAGAGTTCCCTATGAGCAACTAAGACCACTGCCTCTTGGAAATGTCATCTGTACCTTAAATGACTAGTATCAACATAGGGGACCAATCTCTGATATTACCCTACACTAGCAGAATTCCTTCTTCTGGAGATAGAGCAAAACATAAGTACAAACTCCTTCCAGCTATTTTGCTAGGCCTTACATTTAACAGCTAGAACTAAACAATGGAAGATTATATTAGTTCATAGATTACTCTGAACCTTTTTCTTACAGAAGGACTGTGGGGGCAGAGATGGTGGGGTAGAGTGGAGACTTCTTTGTCCCTTTTACCCCCAGCCCTGCAATTCCCAGCATATCTCCATCCCTGGCAACTGAGTGGATGTGGAGGGCTGCTGCCCAAGGCTTCTGGGGAAAACAGAGCAGTTAAGCCAGAATGTGCCTGAGCACATATTTGCAAATAGCTGGGGAGACAGCACTGCATTGCTGGTTGTCACTGCAGCTAGGCAAGAAGCACTGCACAAAGTGGTACAGGTTAACTTCTGGATCAATGTCCATAAAACTATGTACATACACTAGTGCAACTGGGAATTGTGGTGGTGATGCCAGTGTGCTACTTAACAGGATTCTAGCCATAGTAGGCTAGCATGAGGGACTGTGGGGAGCCATTTTATTTAATGGAACTTGAGCATCATGGATTTTGGCATTCTGGAACCAAACCCCGATGGATACCAAGGGCTCACTGTACAAGTGAAAAGGATCTAGGGGTCTTGTTAGATCACAAGATAAACATGAGTCAACAGAATGTTGAAGTGGCCAAAAAAAAAAAGCCAATTCTAGACTGCATCAACAGGAGTATAGTGTCTGGATCTAAGGAAGTAATAACATGTCCAGAGGAGGGTAATCAAGATGATAAAGGGTCTTGAAACCAGGCCCTGTGATGAACAACTGAGGGAGCTGGATATGTTTAGCCTGGAGAAAAGAAGACTGAAAGGTGACATGATAGCTACCTTTAAACATCAGGATGTCACATAGTCTTTTTTCCTGTTTCTTCAGAGACTGAAACCCAAATTAATGAATTCAAATTAGAAGAAAAGAGAGTGCACCTAATGGCCTTCCAGCTCTATGACTCAATTATTTTATGATTTGATCAATTCCAGAAAGAAGCAAGGATGGGGCTGGGCAATTCACCAGCAACCTCATCAACATGGATTAGTGAACTTTATGGAAACCATCTGAAAGACCTGGCGATTCACATGATTAATGTGATTATCCTTGCATGATGAAGTGGTTTGAGTGATGGACTATGACTCTAAAGATTAGGATTGGATTCCCTGCTTGAGCATAAAAACCCACTGGGTGACCTTGGGCAAGTCACACACTCTCAAACTCAGAGGATAGCAATGGCAAACCCCCTCTGAAGAAACTTGACAAGAAAAGCCCATGATAGGTTCACCATGGGGTCACCATAAATAAAAAATGACTTGGAGGCACACAGCAACAACAATACACAAGGAAATATCCTTGTGTATTTTTCCTTCTCTAGTACACAGAAGCTGATGGTATTTCTTACTAGTGTTAGGTGAAATCATACTGCATAAGGCTGAGGAACACTGGAAAGCACCATTCATACATCCATGAATCAAAATTTGTCCCCAAACAAGAAAATTCACCCACTTATTTTGTACCACAGTGGAAAAAGTGAGACCACCAAAGAGTAGTAAGTCTGAAGAGGGGTTTTAATTAAAACCAGGTTAGTAGGTCACAATTCAATAAAACTCTTTATGGTGCAGTCTAAATGCAACATATTTCTCCCTTCCCCATGAGAAAATCCTGTCCAACGGAAGCTGCTTAGAAAGGGATTTCCTCTCTCCTATTTTATAGAACAGCAGCAATGGTTGCTTGGGGCACTTTATGAGAAGTGGGCCATAAATCCTGTCCAATTAGTACAGACAGTACACAGGCACCATTTGTGTTGAGTATATATCCCACACAAGAACACTTCAGGAGGTAGGGATCAGAATAAACAGAAGCAAGATGAACAAACATAAGCCACTGAAGTGGCCCCTTCTCCAGAAATTCATGATGACATTTTCTTACCTTGTTTGCTCTCCCCCACTTATCCACTCACTCAGTTTAAAACTCAGACATTAGACATCATGAAAAGTATTTGCATCATGCTTTCTATTGAGAAAGATTTTTTCCAATATGAATTTCTTACCTCTCCAGGAGCTGGAAAAGGATTTGAAAAAGGATTCAACATTAGGAGGCAATTCCTAATAGTGAGAGCTGTTCAACCATGGAACATGCTCCCTTGGAGAGTGATGGAGTCTCCCTTGGGGAGTGGTGGAGGTCTTTAAACAGAGGCTGGATGGCCATCTGTCGGGGATGCTTTGATTTTGAGTTCCTGCATGGCAGGGGATTGGACTGAATGGCCCTTGTGGTATCTTCCAACTCTATGATTCCATGATTCTACTTATGTACAGTTATACTTGTATTGCTATTTACAATCTCTTTATTAAAAATAAATGATTCTATGATTCATGTACACATTATAAAGTAAAACAAATGGAAAGGTCCCTCCTTCAAAGCCTAGTGACACAGATAAACTTCATCATGAGTACGCCTTTAATTACCTGTTACAGGTAACTTATCATAGACATTCTCTATCAATGATTAAATAAATGCATTGGGGACAAACTAGCCACAGCATTTGTTGTCACAGCCTTACGTTGTTTAGCCTGTGTTTTACCAGCATCATTCTAACACAGCATAATTGGAGATTTGGTTGCTAACATATGTTATTTGAAGGGGGGAAAAACATATTTTGCAGTTCCTCAACTGTTCAGCAATTATAAGAAACTATAACAGATGCCTTGCTTGGGAGTTAGATAAACTAAAGGACAAGATACATCAGCAATATTTCTTGATCCACAGTACAAAATAATTGAGACATAGCAGGATAAATTCATTCATCAAATTATTATTCAGGATGCAAATTTTACTATGCTCTCACTTCAGATGAGAAAACAACAAATATATATCTAAAATTGTACAAGTTTTCTTCTTTACACACTTCCAAGAACTTCCAAGTCCAAGAATCTGGGGACTTCCACTGGCAACTTATCTATGCCTGTATAATGTATATTGTTAGCTAATTAAATACTGTACATAAAAACTTTTAAATTGGTTGTTATATATGGTTAAAGATATTTATAGGGCCAATGCAGTGTAGTGGTTTAAGCATTGGATTACAACTCTGGAGACCAGGGTTGAAATCCCTGTTTGGTCATGGAAACCCATTGGGTGACCCTGAGCAAGTCATGCCTTCTCAGCTTCAGGAGAAGGCAATGGCAAAACCTGTCTGAATATATCTTGCCAAGAAAACCCTGTGATAGCTTTGACTTAGAATCATCATTAGTCAAAAATGACTTGTAGGCACACAATAACAACACAACATAGATATTTATGGCTACCTATTCTCTGTCTATGTTCCCCCCTCCCACAATCTGATGAGCTTTTGTCAGTCCATATGCAGCACTTCTCATTTTCTTTCTTTTGGGCATCGGTAAATGTAAGGAAATCAACATCTGAGTTGCTAGCTTGTAACCTCCGGGAAACTGTTCTATAGCTCTTTCTCACAAGTCATAAATACTTGGGAGTTTTCATGTGATGACAGGTTGACAGCTACTGTGATAAGCATGAAAGAAACGTTACCAGTGCCTTTCCTCCTCGCTCTTTTATGAAGGGCAGTGATCACTCTCTTACATACATATCTAAACTATGCTAATAACAAGAGTCCCAAACTCTAGCCAAAATTTATCGAAGCTGTAGACCACACCATAAATATTTTCATCCACATCACTGGTTACAAAATGTTTTTAGCATAAAACAACATGTTTTCCAAAACTTCATCAAGCACCCATTGTTGTTGTTGTGTGCCTTCAAGTTGTTTCCAACTTATGGCGAATTATCATGGTGGTTTCTTGGCAAGATTTGTTCAAGGGAGGTTTGCCATTGCCTTCCCCTGAGAGCATGTGATTTCCCCAAAGTCAGATAATATTGTAGAAAATTAAAACATATTATTTTTTAGACAATGAAGAACATCCAATATTAGTGAACACAGGTGAGTTGAAGATGCACATGCACACGCACACACACACTGGGTCTTGTTATAGGCTGTGTTCCATGTCCCCCAGACAAGAAAAAAAAGGGGAAAACATAGCTGTATCCTGCTGTGCAAACCTATCAAGAATTTCCAGAATCACAAAGCAAAACTAAATCAGAGGTTCTTTGGCCCCAAAACAAATAAATGCAGTAACATTGGTAAGATTCCCATTTGTCCATGGATATTTATACCAGACATTGGTTTTAACTGCTGATGACATCACACCAAACAATAACTTACATCACACCAAACAATAACTTAATAGTCAGCTGTCCTTGCTTTAAAATACATAGTTCTCTTTGCAAGAAATGGAAAGCTGAAGATATTTATTATCTATAGTGATGACTGTAGGCACTAGGGAGCACATAGCAAACATACAGTGGCTAATAGAGCATACCAAGGAA